GCAGCCATGATGTTCTATAAAGCTTCCAAGTTGCAGTGGTTTATGATGGAGCATTGATCTTTATTGCACCTTGATACACCGCAAAGCATTTAGATGCAGCACTGGATGGTTACAGCTCTCTGTGGGCCAAGTTGACTTCCTCTCTCTAGTGATCGTAGGTGTATGTCCACTTACCAGACTTGACACTATGTGTACATTGCCCTTTCTGTGTAATCCTGGGTGTCTCACACAGTCACATCCCAGTGCCAGGGACTTCCCCTTCCCAGCATATCACCAAAAAGACAGGTGAGTGATCAATACAGTCATATCACAGTGAATGATATCAGAGTGCACTATGCTACACAGCTGTGCACCTTGGGCTTCTCAGTGATCATCTGAGGCTGGTGAATGGATAAATAGTCACAGGTCCTTTCCTACACCCACCTATATTTCACCCAAACATAGAGATTTCCAACTCTGTGGCATGTGGTGCCTGGTACACAGCTCAGATAGTTTTTCTGAATGTGGAAGTGTCTGGGCAACATCGGCTGGAAAAAGAATCTCCACTCTCCATTTCAGTACGTATCACAAAATAAACAATTACATCAAAACAAAGGGTCGAGCTTCCTGCCACTCGCATTATAATAAGAACATAAGCAGGGGCGGCTCCAGGTACCAGCGCAGCAAGCACGTGCCTGGGGCGGCAAGCTGCGGGGGTGGCCTGCCGGTCACTGTGAGGGCGGCAGTCAGGCAGCTTTCAGCGGCGCGCCTGCGGGAGGTCTGCCGGTCCCGTGGCTTCGGCGGCAATTCGGCGGCTGGGACGCTGATGGTGCGGCACCAGCGGACCTCCCGCAGGCATGCCGCCGAATCCGCGTGACCAGCGGACCACCCGCAGGCGCGGCGCCGAAAGCCACCTGCCTGCCATGCTTGGGGCGGCAAAAAACATAGAGCCGCCCCTGAACATAAGCATGGCCATACTGGATCAGACCAATGGTCCATCCGGCCCAGTATCCTGTCTTCCGACAGTGGCCAATGCCAGGTGCTTCAGAGGGAATGAACAGAACAGCCATTGATGGACCTATCCTCCATGAACTTATCTAGTTTTTTTTTTAAACCTGCTATAAGTCTTGGCCTTCACAAACATCCTCTGGCAAAGAGTTCCATGGGTTGACTGTGCTTTGTGTGAAGAAATACTTCTTTTTCTTTGTTTTAAACCTGCTGCCTGTTAATTTCATTTGCTGACCCCCAGTTCTCGTGTTATAAGAAGGAGTAAATAACACTTCCTTATCTACTTTCTCCATACCAGTCATGATTTCTATCCTCTATCATATCCCCCCTTAGTTTTCTCTTTTCCAGGGTGAAAAGTCCCAGTCTTAGTCATCTCTTCTCGTATGTAAGTTGTTCCATACCCCAATCAGTTTTGTTGCTCTTTTCTGGACCTTTTCTAATTCCAATATGCCATTTTTGAGATGGGGCAACCAGATCTACATGTAGTATTCAAGATGTGGGCATACCATGGATTTATATAGAGGCAATATGATATTTTCTGTCTTATTATCTATTCCTTTCCTAATGATTCCCACCATTCTGAAGAATTATTTTGTTTTGGACTGCTATTATGGCCAGAAGGGAGGGGGAGCTGCGTCCCTATGACTCACAGCCAGAGGGCTGCACCCCATGCTCCAAATCAGCAGTACAGCAATGCCTACAGCCAGAGAAGGATGTCTGGGACAAGAGAGGTGCCCACCCTTACCCCAAGGGTGCATCTTAGAAGTACAACCTATGACATGGTAGAGAATGTGGGCAATCCCTTCCTAAATCTGACACAAGGGTAAATTGGGGAAGATTGAAAGCCCAGGCATGTTAGCTTTTATGACTGCCACTGCACATTGAGTGAATGTTTTCAGAAAACTATCCACAATGACTCCAAGATCTGTTTCTTGAGTGGTAACAGCTAATTTAGACCCCATCGTTTGATATGTATAGTTGGGATTATGTTTTCCAATGTGCATTACTTTGCATTTATCAACATTGAATTTCATCTGCCATTTTGTTGCCCAGTCACCCAGTTTTGTGAGATCCCTTTGTAACTCTTCGCAGTCCACTTTGGACTTAACTATCTTGAGTAGTTTTGTATCATCTGCAAATTTTATCACCTCACTGTTTACCCCCTTTTCCAGGTCATTTATGAATTTGTTGAATAGGACTCATCCCAGTATAGACCCCTGGGGGATACTACAATTTATCTCTCTCCATTCTGAAAACTGACCATTTATTCCTATCCTTTGTTTCCTATCTTTTAACCAGTTACTGATCCATGAGAGGATCTTCCCTCTTATCCCATGACAGCTTACCTTGCTTAAGAGCCTTGCATAAGGGACCTTTTCAAAGGTTTTCTGAAACTCTAAGTACACTATATCCACTGGATACCCCTTGTCCACATGATTGTTGACCTCCTCAAAGAATTCTAGTAGATTGGCGAGGCATGATTTCCCTTTACAAAAACCATGTTGACTCTTCTCCAACAAATTCTGTTCATCTATGTATCTGACAATTTTGTTCTTTACTATAGTTTCAACCAGTTTACCTGGTACTGAAGTCAGGCTAACTGGCCTGTAATTGCCAGGATCACCTCTGAAGCCCTTTTTAAAAATTCGTGTCACATTAGCTATCCTCCAGTCATTTGGTACAGAAGCTGATTTAAATGATAGGTTACAAACTACAGTTAGTAATTTTGCAATTTCACATTTGAGTTCCTTCAGCACTTTTGGGTGAATACCATCTGGTCCTGGTTACTTATTACTGTTTAGTTTATCAATTTGTTCCAAAACCTGCCCTAATGACACCTCAATCTGGGACCGTTCCTCAGATTTGTCACCTAAAAAGAATGGCTTGGGTTTGGGAATCTCCCTCACATCCTCAGCCATGAAGACTGATGCAAAGAATTCATTTAGTTTCCCCACAATGGCCTTATCTTCCTTGAGTGCTCCTTTTGCATCTCGATCATCCAGTGGCCCCACTGGTTGTTTAGCAGGCTTCTTGCTTTTGATGTACTTAAAAAAAAATTGCTGTTACTTTTTGAGTCTTTGGCTAGCTGTTCTTCAAATTCTTTTTTGACCTTCCTAATTATATTTTTACTCTACAGGGAGTCCATTAAGAAATATACCCATCTAGCCTTCTTGAACATCTAACACAGCCCAGTCTGCTGTCTTTTGGGTGAATGTTGCCACCTTCTGGGAACACAGCTAAACATGCTCTTTGCTACACCGCATAGATTACCACTAAGTGTAGTTGCCTCCAGTGGCCTGATACATGGTTTTCACCCCTAGCTTCCCAAGTCCCATATAGGGTCCATACTTCCTACAACAGTGATCTGTCAAAACGATCTCTTCTTTATTTTAAAAATAAAATACACGGAAGCTTACATCACATCAATGTGAACCAAAACAAAGCCATCTTGCTTCATATAGACCTATTATCCAGGACAGTAACCCTTTAACAAAGAGCAGAAAAAAAAATTAAACTTTACCTTAGTTGCTTTTAATTTTCCCTTCTTGATCAGTTTCTGTATCATCCTCAGTGCTTTGAGCCTCTTGTTATGCACGCGAATTGCATCAAACCCCACCTATAGAAACCAGGACCAAGTTATCAAAATTATTTTTGTTTTATCTAGGCAAACAGCTGTAGAAATTCCAAAGCCAATTAAATAGCAAACCTCCAAAATCATCACAGACTACTTACGGTGGATTTCAGGCTGCTTTTCAATCCATCTATATTAGCATAAAAAATAGGACTGGAAAATCTGAGAATCTTCACTCCTTCTGGTTCAACAACCTGTTGTCAAAATAATTTCAAGGTCAAGCATGTATATTACATTTACCTAATTAGCAATAGCACCCAAACTTAGCCTAATAGAGCATCACTTTGATAACTTGCAAAGAATCCAGGTAGGCACCTAATTTATATAAAAAGGAGCGGATTGCTAGCTACCTTCACTTTTAATATAAAGGTTTAGCTCCCAGAAACTATAGTTCCCAGCATGCAATGTGGTCTGACCACTTGGCTCCAGATGGAAGTTTTTACACTGAGATCCATTATCTTCAGGAGCTGTGCTTCCATAGAGCTGCAAGGTAGAACTCTGTACCTCACTTTGGCTTGCAGGCTGCCATTAGGAAAATAACCAGTCAGAAACGCTTACAGTTTTGTAGTCCTTGACGTTCTTGTAGAGGTCTGTGCCAGGAACGTTCCCAAGGCCACCCCACGAGGGACTAACAGAAACAAAAAGAAAACATGGCATAAAATTAACATTCAGTTGAGGAACTTATAACATGGGATGACTTGTTACACACAGTCTTTTACAGAATGGTGAGAATCAGCAAACGGAATAGCCCCAGCAGGAGGCTGCGCAGGGGATTCCCTTGGATATAGCAGGCCCTTGCTTGGATGTGGTGCACTTTGGTCTATGGTGGCTCAAGCATACTGACTGCACCACTTTTAAGCACTTCCTGACAGCAAAGCTATGGACTGGCTTTGATGTCAGCTTTGCTTTCTGGATTACAGGTGGAAGGAAAGGTGTTATCTTGTATATTCAGCAAGAAAACCGGGAGAGAGTTATGAGGTGGCTGAGCAGTGGAGCAACATCCTGTGAAGTCACCCATCACCTCCATTCAGTCTCACTTATTCTTCCACATGTTCGCTCTCATCCATACTAGGCATTGCGGGGAACACCAGAGCCATCGTCAGCAGCTAAAATGTGAACCTTGGAATGGAATCTTAAAGCAGCAATAAGGGTGGGGGAAGGGGGAGGAATGGTCACACAGCACACATATATCCGCACATGTCTTCTACTCTACAGGTACCTTATAATGACATCCAGAATAAGTAGCTGCTGAGAATGTTACTTGCCAAAATGTTATCTGTCTCAACATGTGTCTTCCCCCTTCCCACCAATGGTACTGTTCTATGCTGAGTGAATAGTAATTGATAAAATATAGCTCCTCATATAACTTCTTATACTTTATTTTGAATGCTTCCATCCCTTTTAAGATCTCTTATAGGTACCTAAATGAGAGATGGCCAGGTAAAAAATAGAGTAGATCAATCACAAAAATAATGCATGCATCCTTTACATCAATATGACTACAATACATTCTGGCTTTGGAATGAATCTATGAACACTCTTACAGAAACAGAAGGGTAGATTTTCTTTCACTTCAAAATCATGGTCAATATGACTGATTTTCAGACATAAATTCTCTCCTTTTCCCTAAATTCCCTTACTTTTCATGGTATAGCACTGACTGGTCTTGCTGTTTCTGTGTTACTTACAACTGAACTCTCACCACAACTGTCAGTAATCCGAATACAAGGCCAGCAAGTAATCCCAAATCAAGACCCAGAATGATGGATGCCACACATGTGAAAATCCAGATCATCTAGAGAGGAAAGAACAAACACAGCGTCTCTGAATTAAAAAAGAAAATAGCTTCTGATCACAGCAGAAAATCACTACACCAAATAATAATAGCAACAAAAGAATTTAAGCTTGAAGATGGTCAAAATACCCAAACCATGTACTGACTTCTATATTAAACTCTTCCTTTATTTCCAAGCCAGTTTTGCTCATCTTTATTTTGTTTATTGTTCGTATTTAGTTCTTAGACAATAAATTATCAAGCTAGTCTAAGGTAACGAAGTCTAGCAGGGACTCAGTTATCCCTTGTACAGTTAAAGAGGATACAATTTCTCATTGTCTTTACTTCTCTCCAGCAGCAGCTATTTTTGATATTTTTACTCCAGGAATTTGAAGCAATGTATTTCCCCAAGAACCTAATTTATTGTAGGATGACAGTTTGCCCTCAGATATGTAGTGGCAAAAGAGGGCTCCCACTTATTTCTGGGAGAAGGATCTGTACCACAAATGGGTAGTATTTCACATAAACCGGGTGGGGAAGGTGGGGGGACACACATTTTGAAGTCTGTGCTGCCTACTTGGGCTAATTCCTGAACTCCTTACTCAGTCACAGCTCAGAAACTCTCATTGGACCCAACCCTGTGAGGTGCTGAGCACCATCAGCTCCCATTGAAGTCAAATAAGATTTTTACCCAAGAAGAGGACTGAGTAAAAATTGAGTAAGGACTTCGGGATTTGGCTACAGGCAGGGCACTTTTCATAGGCATTCATGAGGCAATCTTTGCATATCAGAGATTATGTGGAGATGATACTTTCCATGCAATACCTGATTCCCCCAAGCACACCATGGGCCTGCTCCACAGAAACTCCAATAAGAGATATGGGGGTGTCTTGGGATGAGATTATAGGAGTCTGAGGGCACAGTCTAGATGTAATTGTGCATACATCCCCTGACACAGCAAGGGCCCCTATGCACACATTCCATCACAGATTATTACTGCTCCAAGCAAGAAAAAACATTTATTGGTGAGGACTGTGATGATATCGGTCCAGGCATGGTCCACACTAATGTTGTTGTTGCAGGCTATATGGGAACATTTGGGAACTGGTTATGCATTGGTTCAGAATCTGAATATAAGGGGCCAGATTCTCTCATTCAGCCAAACTGTGCTCAGCAAAAGACCAGAGTGGGGTGGTAAAAGTGACTTCAGGCTGTCTTTACATTAATCTGCAGCTCAGCTGATTGAACTAGAAGGCAACTCTAAACTTTGCTGGTTGTTAACTGCAAGGGATGGCCAATACACAGGGATATCTGATCAAGCCCCCTTTCCTCTAGACACACCCCTTCCGATGGGAGACTAGGAATGAATGATATAGAAGCTGCCACAAGTGTCTTCTACATAGGGGGAAATTTTCACTGGCTGGATCTGCTGGCTTTAGGGGAGTTTTGTGTTGGGAGACTAACACAAAACTGCGTTAATGGACCAGATAATCTGTTTTAAAGTCTTTTGGTGTTAACAATACAAAATTCTGTTTCTGTTAACAAAGTGTGGAAGCTATGAGTAAATTGGGTGGGGTTAAAACACAAAAAGAGAACTAGAACCAAAACATTTAGGAAAAAAGTAAATGACTTACAGCATCCGCCTTATTCTGCCTCCACAAACGAGGAACATCAAACACCTGCATGAACATCCCTTTCAAGTTGGCAATGACAACAGCTGCCAACACAGACTGCAAAGAGAGATTGTGAAAACTGGGTTATTCAGAAGAGAGAACACACTGTATGTTTTTGGGACACTTTTCTGGTTATTAAGTAAATTAAAATTGTACACTATGAGCCAGATAGCCTTCTGGTATAAATCAGCACAGTTCCAAATGGAGCTGCTCCTCCAATTTACATCAACTGAGCATATGGCCTAAATGGTGCAGGGGTAAGAGTACTAGATAGGAGAAGCATCATACCTTCTGTAAGGGCTCTAGCAGTTTCCCCAGAGCCACAATGGCAATCAGTACAATCCCTGCTGAGATTATGCTAGCAACCTGCAAAGAAAATAGTAGTGTTGATATGAAACAAGTATTTTTAGACTCTCTGCTATGTTTTCAAACTCACTATGAATAATGCATATGTTGGTATATTTTATATTTCTTTGTAAACAAGGAGACCTGTTAAAATATTTATTAAGTTTAAGTATACACGGCCAAATCCAGAAACAATTCAACTATATAAGGTGATTAAGTCTCATCAGTCCATGTAAATCACCACAAATTAATACCTTGGGAAAGGGTGACTTTGTGTAAGGGAAGAGGAGAAAATCCACACCAGCTCCATATTCTACCTGCTACGTGCCCTCTGAATGGCCCTACTATTAAATAAATAGTGTATAGTTGTTATTATGTGAAGTGTAACCCATAGTAGGAAAGTCTTTGTGTCCCTCTAGTGACTGGTCCACATAAGAAGTTGGTGAGTATCACAGTTCCATTTGCAGTATTCTGGCCTTTAGTTTAGCAGTGGTGTTTCATGAGTTTAGCACTACGTGGCCTGGGTTCAAATCCCACTGTCAGCCCAACCAGGGTCATACACACAAGCATATTGGAGTTAACCCTATGTGAAGTCTTTGCCCTATGCAATATTAAACTGAAATATCTTTAAAATTAATAGTAAAATAAACCCATTACCTGGGTTTTCCCACCAGTGCTTTCCTGGACAGCAGTACGTGATAGAGCGGTGGTAGCAACAAAACAAGAGAAAGCGCCTGCAAACACATTGCTGATCCCATAGGCAATAAATTCCTAGAAGAAGATTAGATGATGATGTAAATGTAGATTTTTTAAGATGTCATTTACATGCATAGGTGCTGGAACTAGGGATGCTGGGGCGGCAGCAACCCCTGGTTTGAAGTGGTTTGCATCATATACAGGGTTTAGAGTTTGGTTCAATGGCTCTCAGCACCCTCACTATAAAAATTGTTCCAGCACTCCTGTTTGCACAGCAAAGATAATATTTCCTTACAGAAGCCTGTAAAGTGAGAAGTACAGTAGGCTTACACAAAATACTGGATTCATTACAACAGCTGCTGTTAAGTATTTTAGAGCTGATCTGCACACAGTTTTTTTACTGATTTAACTACATCATCTTAGAAACCAATATAGTTAAATTGGTGCAATCCCTTAGTGTGGACACAGTTGTACCAGTATAAAGATGCCTATGTTGGTATAGCTTAATTCCATAAATTTACCAAAATAAGCTATCTAAATATAAGCATTTTTATACCAGTATAACAGCATCCATACATGGGGGGTTGTACAGATTTAAATATATCAGTTTCTAAACCAATATAGTTACATTGGTACAAAAACTGTTTAGACGAGCCCTTAGTTTATGTAAAAGGTTTTACTACCAGGGTAGGATCTTGCAGCCAGATCCTTAAATAGAACAGACCTAGACGATCTACACAGATTTCAACACAACTTTGCTCTGGAAGAAGATGCTAGAGATAGATCAGTGACTGTTACTATTATTAAGTTTGAAAATCTATGAGTCTATTAAAACAAATTATCACTAGCCCTACCAAATTCACGGTCCATTTTGGTCAATTTCACAGCCATATGATTTTAAAAATCATAAATTTCATGAGTTCAGCTATAAAATTTCAGTGTTGTAATTGTAGGGGTCATGACCCAAAAAGGAGTTGTGGGGGGGTCACAAGTTTATTGTATGGGGGATTGCAGTACTGCTACCCTTACTTCTGCACTGCTGCTGGCAGCGGCACTGCCTTCAGAGCTGGGTAGCTGGAGAGTGGTGGCAGCTGGCCAGGAACCCAGCTCTGAAGGCAGAGCTGCCACCAGAATCAGCGCAGAAGTAAGGATGGCATGGTATGGTATTGCCACACTTACTTCTGTGCAGAGCTGGGCCCTCAGTCAGCAGCCGCCACTCTCAAGCCGCCCAGTTCTGAAGGGAGCAGCACAGAAGTAAAGGGTGGCGTGGTATGGTATTGCCACCCTTACGTCTGCACGGCTGCTGGTGGGGCGCTGCCTTCAGAACTGGGCACCTGGCCAACAGCCGCCACTCTTCAGCCACCCAGCTCTGAAGGCACCACAGACGTAAGGTTGCCAATACTGCAACCCCCCTAAAATAACTTTGTGACCCCCCTGCAACTCCCTTTTGGTCAGACCCCCAATTTGAGAAACACTGGTCTCCCCCATGAAATCTGTATAGTATGGGTAAGAGCACAAAAAAGACCAAATTTCACGGGGGGAGACCAAATTTCATGGTCCATGATGTGTTTTTCATGGCCGTGAATTTGGTAGGGCCCTAATTATCACTGATGAAAGAAGGTAACTGATCCTCCCTCAAACCTTCTTTCATTGCCTGTTTTTATGCTGTTATTATTTTTCACTCATCTAGTTTAAGTAGACTAGTAATCTAGCTTTCTTTCTAGGACTTTCTGTTGCTGAATGTTTGCCAGGCATAGTATTAATACTAGAAGGAACATAATTTTGTTTGATTACCAATCATTCAGCTACTGTAATCGCTACCTAATGTCTTCTGGAACAGGGCAGTGCAGGTAGAATGTTGAAAACACGCAGCTGTACTACCCACTTAGCCTTATTAAACTGCAAGTGAAGACATGTTAGGCAACCTTAATGTAAAGTGTTTCCCAATGTGAACATTGTGTATTATAGCCTCACGATACACAATGGCCAACATAGAGGAGTCTCCACTCATAATTCACATGCTTAGGGGGCCAATTTGGTTACATAATAAATAAAAATATTTCTAAAATCAGATATATTGTAATTGGGGCATTATTCATTAGTTGTAAAGGACAGAAAGACCAGTTAAACAACATGCTTGGCTCATTTTTTGTAGCGAATACAATTTTCCCACATATTCAAAGAATGCAATATATGTTCAGCATGGATAGAGGAGACAAAGGTAGCTCTAAGCCATTTCTTCATCTCCCTTGATCCTAGGAATAGAGACAGTTTGAGCAACCACAGGGTTTGTCTACAGTTTTTATAACACTATAACTAACTTGGTTTAGAAATGGCTATAGTTAAAGCAATACAACCCCAGCGCCTGAGTATGGATGCAGTTATAGTGGTATAAAGGTTCCTACACTGGCACAGCTTACACCCATACATTTACAGGAGTAAGCTGTACAGACATACACACATTAATACCAGTATAACTGTGTCTACACTAAGGGGATGTGCCAATTTAATAATATAGGCATAAAATCATACTCCCAATTGAAAGAGTTAAATTGGTACAAAAACTAACTGTAGGCCAGGCCTAACTTATGCTGACTGGAGTGGTCTTCCAGGTACTGGTTCACCAGCCCAGCATTGCCCCTCCCTACCACCAGCCACCTCAGAACACTCTCTATGCAGAGAAGTGGAAGCAGGCCACATAAAGTCAGTTATTCCAGGTTTACATCACCACAGAATTCCCCTACGTAATGGTTATCCCCCATTGCCTCTTGAGAGCATCTTTCAGTGCCTTGATGTCACTGGAACAATGCAGAGGAGATTAACTAGGACTGAGGCTCTGGTTCAGTATCTTGGGTAGCTCACACCAGTCTCATCTCTGTGTATCACTGTATCGCAGGACCATATCTTATCTGCTTTTTCAAATAGTTTAATTAATTTCACATATGAGAGTTTCACTTGTGTCTGATAAATCTGTATAATTTCTTTTCCAGTTTGGACATATAAGCATCTTTCATACCCAAATTAAATTTAATTAGTTTTTAAATTAATTGGGTTTCATATACCTGGTTTCCATCAATAGGATAGTCATGTTTCGTTGCATAGACTTTTGCCACAGACACAGCGATAGCATAAGCGACCACAGCAATGGAAAATGCGGCTGCTATCATTTCTGAAAACATACTGACAGCTGGAGGCTCAGGAGGTAAAAACCTAATATTTAAGAAAATATATTTACATTATCAATTGTAATCAAATTCTGTGTTTACTAGATTTGTCAAGAAGCTTCAAGGCAGCAGGACATACATACTACTCATAATGTGAACAATAATATTTCAAATTAACAAAAAGATGGGAACACTTGCAGACCATACAACAAGATTACCTTGTTCAATATGGCCCAAATCCTGGTCCTATTGACAGGGCCGGCCTTAGGGAAAATGGCACGCTGGATGAACTTGTATTTTGGCGCCATTTTCCCTTAGGCATGGGGGTTGGTCAGATGGCGGGGCAGCTCCCCATACAGTGACCCCTCCCCCGTGACTGGGGAGCTATGGGGGCAGGAAGCAGGGGGCAGAGGTGCAGAGCTTCCTGCAGCTGGGGGAGGTTCCCAGAGATGGGTCTGACCTGGCTCAGAGAGAGGCTTGTGCAGAGGAAGAAGAAGTCTCGTCCCTCCACAGCCTGACCGGGACTAGCAACTGGAGTCTGGCACACAGTAAGAGGCCCCAGCTGGAGCACCCCCAACCCTGCCCCTCTCCAGCTCCGGCCCCATCGCTCTGGGTTTAAAGGGCCTTGGGCTAGCTGGGGTATGTGGGGGGAACTGACCATGGTGCCCCCTGACCACGGCGTCCTGGGCAGTCGCCCACAGTGTTCACCCATAAGGCCAACCCTGGCCATTGAAGACAGTGACAAAACTCCCATTGGTTTCAAAATTTGGGGGACTAAACTTTGGCCTTGTGGTAAAAAAGCGAAGAAGTGTATTTTTTGGTTATGTTGGACATTATATGATTAATAACACTATTACATTAACAATATTTCACACTTCTATACTGAACACTTTTTATCTGAAGAGTCTGAAAGACCTTTACAAATATCAATTTATTAAGGCTTGCACACCAAACAGAATGTGAAGGTTATCGTTGTAAAATGCTTAGGTCTTCCAGGTGAAAGTCACTGTCAGTGCAAACCTTACTCTTGTGAGTATGCCAGGAGTACTTTTGACTGGGCTATTTGTATGAATAAGGACTACAATGGGACTACTCACATAAGTATGGGTTTTCAAGATTGAGTCCTATGTAAATATCAAATATTATTATTATTATTATTAAAAACATTTAGCATTTAGACAGCATTTTCCATACTCACATACACACTTTATAAACATTAACTGGTTATTATTATTAATAATAATACCTAGCTCTTATATAGCATTTTCATCTATAGATCTCAAAATGCTTTACAAAGGAGGGTATTATTATTCCCATTGTACAGCTAGGGAGATGCTTACCAAAGGCCATGGAGGGAATTAGTGACAGAGCCGGGACTAGAATTCAGGAAATGTTTGGCTGTGAATCAAACTGTCTCTCTCTCTGGTTCTCACAATTATTCTTTTACTAGTCTCATTAATAGCCATTTAAAATATTAGCTGTGTCTCAGAAGACAAGTGCACTCACCCTCTAGGAATGGTTTTAACAATGCCTGCATTGTACTTTTTTTCCAGGTCAGCAGCGTATGAGATCCCTGTGGCTACTATTGTCTGGAATCAAATAAAACAATGGTTTTAATACTGAAACATTGCTCTGATCTTCCTGCAATCAGCCCAGTCTGCTGTTTTTCTTATTAGGGTACTTTGCTTACCACAATTACTTCTATAGGAATAGGAACAGGGATCTTGTGTTTGAATCGATCATTTATTTCTTTAACTACCATACAAATAAAAATGGTGAGTAGCCCAGCAATGAGATCTGCAATGTTGGTGGTACCAATTCTTTGAAATATTTCGATGAGGGTCTGAAAAAAATTAAAGAAAATTCAAAATACTTTGAAGCCACTTAAATAAAATGATAAAATAGCCCATATAGAGAAGCAGACACAACATCTCAGAGAAGGTCAGGGACTACCTGTCCCATATGCTCATTTTTACTGGCCTGAGGAATTTGATTATGAATGTGAGCTTCTTTTGTGCACTATCAAGCTCTCACTGAATCAGTGGGTTGATCTCATGGTGAATTTAACTGAAGGAGCACAACTATGAGAATGACTGATCTCTTCTTTATCAGATGCTTTTTAACTTCTGTATAATTAATACTACATAACAAGGGTTAAATCCTGCCTGTGTTTTGTTGAAGCACAGGGCAAGAAAGAGGACATATGGAGCCTCTTCCTCCTTGCCCATATAGGAGGCAAGATCCATCCGTGGTGCTCAAGAAGGAGCTAGCAGATGCATGGCTAAAACACTGGCTCACTCACCATATGCCCAAGGAGCCTGGAATCTAGTGTGTGGATTAAATATTTGCTCAGCCTCCCTATCTCCATTGTCCATAGCCAGAGAGTATGATTCTGCCATCATGGATCCTGCTCTGGGGAAAACCAAGGTCACCTCACTTCATGGTGCCCAAACGCCCCATTGGAAGTCAGCCCTGGCCAGGAGGATTCCTACAGCAAGTGTGTAATGGGCAGGATCTCTCCATCCATGCAGCACTAGGCAAAGGAGGATGTGACCTTATTGTTTTACTGTACACTGCAATTTGTGCAGCTGATTTTTAAAAAATTTTAAACTGCTGACAAAACGGTATAAATAATATGCTTTCAATACTAAGTGTGTGGAGGTTGATCCAGAGAGAGGACTACTAATTATTCTCACCCTTTTTACTAATTCCATCCCAACACCCATGTGAAGTAGGTGAGCACATATTATTATTATTCCTACTTTACACGTGGGGAAACGCTGCCACACTGATGTTAAAATACTTGCTCAAGACCACACAAGTCACTATCAGAAGTGGGATTAGAACTCATTCATTCCTGTGCTCTGCACATAGTGGCGCTGCTTGACGCACTTGTTACACTATAAGGACACTGAGCTTTAACCTAGAGCAGCAGCTCTTCATTTTAGGCTCACCAGAGTTGGGAGCACCATCTAATTCCTTTTCAAAATATATCTTTCCTAGTTGCACTTCCCTTTGGCTATCATAAAAGACACAGATGGAAAAACCTGAGAGGTCATCTGGTACATCTCCATGACAGTACAGCATTGCTCCCTGTAGTGCACGGGCAGCCAAATTTACTCACCCTCCAAGCCGCATACAATAACCTTCAGAATTTCAAGAGCTAGGGCGCTCCTGCCAAGGCTTGGGGCTTCAGCTCTGCTGGGAGGAGGAGTTTGGGGCTTCAGCCCCATGGCAGGTGCCTGCCTGGGCTCAGGGCTTCATCTCTGCTCCTGCTGAAGCCCCAAGCCACAGCAGGCACGTCCTGTGGTGCTGGAGCCCCGAGACCACTCCTCCCCATTGGGCAGAAGCCAGAGGTGATGTGTGAGGGGGGCACATGGGGTCACGTGGCCCCCAGATTTTTGACAGGGTTTGCTGGACCCACTCAGTCACATGGTGATGCCAGGACCCCTCCCTGCACAGCAGCTACTGGAGCCAGCAGGCTGGGAACTGTAGCCATGGGAAGAGGCAGTGGCAAACAGCTGGGAGCTGCAGGGAGAGCCATTGCTTTTGCTGCTGCCTCTCCCCACAGAGCTAACATCTGGGAGTTGCAGGGAGGGGCCGCTGAGGGCCGGGGAGGGCATGCCTGGGGAGGCATGACTCAAGCTATTGGGGGGGGATGAACCTTTAAATTGTGCCCCCCAGCCCCCAGCAGGCACCCAGCCCCACGACCCCGCCACAGGGCAGAAGCCCCAAGCTTCCCTCCCCCTAGTCTGGTAAATGCAGAATGGAGGGATGGGGGGGGGGTCTGCGAGCCGCACTTTAACTGTAAAAGAGACGCATGCAGCTCACGAGCCACAATTGGCCACCCCTGCTATAGTGCATTACTTAGTGCTTTGTCCGATCTTATTTTAAATGTCCGAAGATGCTAGAGCTTCCATTATTTCCTAGGAAGATTATTCCACAGCCTAACACATCTCACTGTCAGGAAATTTTTCCAAATATTCTGCCTAATTTTCTCTTTTTCTCAATTTCACTATTACTCCTAATCCATATGCCAATTTATTCCACTCCATACATTAATAGACTGGACATTCCACAAACATTGCAAAGAACTGAATACACTTCTGCCTGAACTGGCCTTCATTTCTACCAATGTCAGGAGAGTAGTATTTTAAATAGAGTCTGATTCTTTTTGGCCAAAGCCTGTCCCCCTTTGGAGATTTGTTAGCATATAGCCAGTCTAAAGCCCTTTGAGCTCAGCCCTGCTCCTGCTGAAGTCAATGAAAATACTCATTAGCTTCAGTGGGAAAAGCTGTAGGTTCTATAATATGGGACAATCCAGGAAATCAATATTACTACAATGCAGTCAAGATAATTCTTTATTTGATCATTTTCTCCAAGATCTACCCCACAGATCTGATGGGAAGATTTAATTCATAATTTCTCTAGCATTTCTGTATAGCTATATGTTTAAGTCCCTTAATCAATTATTTTAATTTTTCTGCTGCATCCTCCGTAACTGGGTGATATCCTTGTAAAAATAATACAAGAATTGTGTACAATATCTCAAATGTGTTGTAGTAATTCCCTAACCTCATAGGACTGTACCCTTTATAGCACATGGTCAAACAGACATCATAGTCATTAACAAGGACAGAATGCAGGACCTTTTCCTCCAGAAAGACAGGTCTCTACCACTTACATTAAAAAAGAGTTACATCGATCATCCTATATTTTGTCAGCCTCTATTGTATTAATCTGGCTCCACTATTGTATCATCTCACTGACCTGTTCCTTCTTCCAGGACATTGAAAGTGAATTAAACTAACCTCATAACAGTCTTGTGACATCCTATGAACAGAGGAAAGGAAAAGGAGCCTTCCTCAAATGCAGAATTGGGGTCCATTCAAGTCAATTAAACCCAAACACCTATTGATCTATTGACCTTAACGGGAGCAGGATCAAGTCCTTGAAGAAAACCCTGTATTCCCTCAATCTATTATGGATATCACCCCTGCAGGAAATAAAGGCAGAAGATGGAAGAGAGACTGCTATAGAGAAATTGTGGCATAAAACAAAAGCAAAGCAGCAAGGCATACTTACATATATTATGGAAAGGATCCCATTATAATTTTTGGTTGAAACATTTAAGACTATTTTCAGTTGTGAAACAAAAACTTGAAAAGCAGCTGCAGTTGTGAATCCTCCAATCAGGGGATCTGCAAGGTACCTCACAATGAAACCGATCTGAAGGGCTCCAAACACAAGCTGGAAAAATCACCAGGGAATAACAGTTTGCTAAACAATTAAAAGGTGCAACAACGATGTTACAAAATGCTCAGGATTCAGTCCCGTAAGGAATGCTGGCTGAGAACAGGTCAAATGGCAACAGATTGTGATATCCTTACTCACATTGACTAGCACCTTATACCATAAATAGTCCCACTGAAGTAAATCAGGTTATCTGTGGAGTAAAGTACTACTCAGTGTGAGTAGTGGTATCACACATAACCTGGCCCTGTGTGAATCTGAAAAGTCTGAAGCTACTTTATTAAGCAAAACTTGAAGGGCCTCATAGAGCAGCCACTGTGAGTGCTGCTGATTTCAGTGGGAGTACAGAGTACAGAGCAGCAGCAGAATCTGCTCCAGTGGACAAAAGAACAACTTTGGTATATCACTACCTGTCATGGGACAGCAGGATTTATATGGTGCCTTGGACTCTTTCCTTTGCATGACAGTTGCTGTGGATTTCTTCCCTATCCACGATGTTCATCTGTGTCCTATGTAGCTCAAATTCTCACCCACTTTTACCTTATTTGGTGTCTACTTATGCATTTTCTATGTTAGAGAAGCCTTGTTCTTTTTGTATTGACCAGGACTCATTGGACCATCTTCCCTCACACCAACCAGCATACCTTCCAGGGAGACAAAGGAAGAACTGCAGAGCTGTGTAGAGGGGTAGGCCCTCCTTCCTGATGATCCAAGTTCTATGCTGTTGGAACTTGGTTTCCCTACAGCTGTCTCAGGCTTTTTGCAGTCACTCAGCTATGCTTCTGTCTCCTCCACTCCCAGCCGTGCTGTCACAAACCTTTTCCCATGAAGCATAGGTGCTGGAACTAGGGGTTCTAGGGGTACTGCCACACACCCTGGCTTGAAGTGGTTTCCATCATATACAGGGTTTACAATTTGGCTCAATGGCTCTCAGCACCCCCACTATAAAAATTGTTCCAGCACTCCTGCCATGAAGGAGGAAATGTATTGAGTTCACTGTAATTTGAAAGCTGTGTAAATTTCAGGGTGACTTTCCCCCCTCCTGTGTGTTTTACCATGGGAAGGGAACCCTAATAAGCTATTTCAAGCTGCATTTTTGCCAATTATTTAATAAAGTAAAAGCAATATCAACCTGAATCTTTGAGGCAGTTCTATTACCTGTATAATTCCAACCAGAAATGTGAGGGTACTGGCAATCACTACTCTCTGTGCATCTCTGGATACAGTGTCTATCAGCGTTTTGTTAAGCCCTGTAGCATTACTGCTCATTATGTGGAACTTGTCATCAGGTGCCATGCTCAACACAACAGATCCCACCATCAAACTGACCACAGGGAAAGGTCCTGTAAAGATGAACAGTATAAAGCATGACTTTACATACATCACAAAATCAAAGTGTTTGCAAGATAAAATAAGCAGTTCTACATTAGTGAACTAGTTAAAACGTTTTTATGATGACAAAATGCCTGTTCATGAAATAATCTAGAATGAACTTCTCTGTGCCTCCATGGTTTTGATTCTTCATGGTGTCCAGCAGAACACAGGACTGATGAACTTCAGCACAAATATAAGCAGAAAAGCTGTGCATGGGAACAAGCAAAGCCAAAATATGTTTTAAGCCCCACAAACCTGCCAACATTAAAGCTCAATACAGTGAATATGGTTAATAAAATGACTGCCTCACACTGAATATTAATACTCATCTGAAACATAAACATTGTGAACAAAAGATAATTGACTGAAACTGAAATTAAACAAATGCAGTTACCAACTGAGAGGTGCCTTGATGTTCCCAAGAAGAAATATGTCAGGAGGGGAAAAAACGCAGAGTAGAGACCATATCCAAGAGGAACTGCAACCAGTAAAGCAAATGCCAAACCTGTAATCATATATAATCATAATTTTAGTTACAAATCTCACAACAGACTAATCTCTGGTCAAGTAATGGGCCAAATTTTCAGGAAGGCAGCTTCCTTTCAGCCAGGCACAATTTGAAAATACATTTTGCATCTGTAATTCAGTTGTGGGCACAAATCTGAGTGCTTGTGCCTCAACCTATTTGACAGTGCCAACCAGGTAGTTACAGGTGTGAGTATTAAGTGTTACACCTGCCATTTGTGTTTTCACAAAACACAGGCACAAATTTTAAGGGCTCTGCGAGGTTCGGGCAGGGGAGCTTTGCTGTGAAAGCAACTGATCTACCTTTCCATGGGTAAGTTTGTGCGAAAAAAGTCTCAATTATGGCTGGAATTTTCAAACATGGATGCCCATTTATTCATCACCTCTGGAAATCAGGCCATTTTTATTTAGGTATCTAAATATAGATTTAGATGTCTAACCTTAGGCACCCATATTTGAAAATTTTGCTCCTTACCAATAACCAATCAGTAACAAAGGCTATGATGGGGCCCTGCAGAGCAGAAAAGCAGCTTTGCAAGATGTTTTTCCCTGTATAGCCATGTTGCCTTCCTCGACATATCTGTTTGACCTATCAGCTACATTGATAAAGTGGCAGGAGAGATAAGGGGATCTAGAGAAGTGTCATATCCCTACCCACCCCTAGAACTGTGGAGCATCCCCAGTAAAATGTGCAGAAATTTAATGCTGTTTCAGGCAGCACTAACTACCACTATGGAGTCTGTGAGTCCCCTCTCAGAGGTATCACAAAGGGCTACCAGGACTTCAGGATAAATAATAGACTGGTGGGAAGGCTGAAGAGCTGCACACATGAAGAGTCATGGGATCTGTCTGGTTTGGGGACCAAGGCACTTGAGGCTCCCTGGCATCTGCTTAATTTTTTGGCTTAGTTTTTTTGTTCCACCTCCTGGCTACTATGAACCCAGCCAGCTTGGGCTGGGGATTATATGCAGGGTATGTAGCTCTAACCAAGCCACAGAACTTTTGTATTAATTTATCTCTATGCACATTTGTGCCAGAAGGAAGCATATGAGTCCAAAAATGTATTTAAACAGTATATTTTAAAATAAATTGTATTGCTGGATTCTAACTTTAAGAAGTGTGTGTGTGTGTGTGAGAGAGAGAGAGAGAGAGCGAGAGAGAGAATGAATGTTCTTGTGGTTAAAGCACTGCCACTGCTTGGCCTGGTTATCAGAAGATTTTCCCAGCTCTGCCATACGCTTCCTGTGTGACCTTAGGCAAGTCATCTCATATTATCTGAGTCTCAGTTCTCTAGCTGTAAAATGGGGCTGATTCTATTTCCTTTCTCCCAACCTTTGTCCAGCTAGCCTATTTAAATGGCAAGCTTTTGGGGCAGGGAGTGTTTCTGACTATGTTTATATAATGTCTGCCACTATCAGACCCTAATCTTGTTTGGGGCCATTAGGTGCAGCTGTAATACACAGATACTCAACCCACTGAGGGGCAGAAGGGGGGCAACAGAGCTGTGGAGGCAGCTGACTTTATCGTCTGCACAGGATTGGGAAGATTTGCATGCAGGTCTAGATGAAGGGACAATCTAGCCCAAAAGAATTACTATACTGGAACAGACCAGTAGCCCATCTGGTCCTGTCTTTGAAAGTGGCCAGTATCAGAAGGTCCAGGGACGAGAATGGGGCTCTTATTTACCTCCTTCTGCAGTTCTTCACAACTGTCTAGTCATGATTAATCTAACTAATGCTTAGTCATCTGTACGTATAGGTCACCACCTTTCTGTTTATCTACTTTCTCTATCATTAATAAATGTATTAAATAAAGCTAGCTGAACATTGTAAACTATGTTCTGTGAATATCGGTTCCAATTTTTAAAATTTGGCCAGGTTCATACCCCTTTTGTTTTTGTTTACTACAAACATTTGAGCAATCAAGCTTTACTGGCACAAATGTTAACAGGAAGTTGTATTCATGAGTTTACATTTGGATAGACAAGTGTTTGGGGTGCTCAGCCAATTGGGGAACAGAAATAATACTAAGTGACTTATCTAACCAATCACAAATAACTGAGTAACACAATTCAATTTTAAAATGTTCACCTTATGTCCATAGAGTTAAAAAAAATCAAAAAGATACTGGGCAAATATATTTGAATAACAACTTCAAGGAAATTGCAATCTGCTAGCCAATATTGCATAAACAGAAAAAGGAGGCTAAATTAAGGAAATCAATGATTTATTGTGAAATATTAATTCATATACAATATAAAATAACATTAGTCCTCATGGATTTTAATCATGGTTAACACTGAAGCACTGATTAGAAAGGGTAAGACATAATTATGGGAATGTCAATATAGTACATCCAGTTTCTCCTCAATAACAGATAAAATCTGCCTGGTCCTTACCTTGTAAAGTAGCTACAAGCCCCGTACTGACACCAGAGATGATATCACTAACTAGCCATTCCTTTACTCTGTACTTAGGTAGCCATTCCAGGATAGGGAGAAAGGACTTGGTTATCTGAAAGGCCTTTTTTCTTGAACAGCTGCCAAAAAAAACAACAACCTCCAGATAATTAAATTGACAACCTACCCCTGTGAAATCATAATTGGAAAGTGGAAAAAAAATCCTACCAAGAGATCTCAGGAGGTGATATTTAGCCAAAAGAACATTGGTAATATTTTGTAGAAATTGTCTGAATGTTGTTTACTATTTACTGATTTTATAGTGCCAAATTCTGCTCTCAAGTTCAGAGTTACCCCAGGTTTGGTCCATAATGCTTAGTATTTACGACTGAAAATGGTGACAGTCGCCAGCAAGTTTCAACCATCATAACATTTTAAATATTTCATTTGCAAAACCAAACGTTGGTATTTGGTGACACACAGTAACCAAAGTGGACTTTCTCAACAGAGATTTTGTACCAATGGGTGAGTTACCACAGCATTTAGTTTTTTGTTCATGTTTCTAAAAATAAGAAATGATATAATTTGAAAATAATTTTGAATTGGTCACTTTTCCAAACAAAATATTGGATTATTCTCAGAGAGTTGGAGTCTGTCACTCTTATTCACACTGGCTAGCACCTTACTCTGTGTGTAGTCCCATTGGTATCAAAGTATTATCTGAGGAGTAAAATGCTACTCACCATGAGTAAAGGTGTCCCTAAATGCCCCTGAATGTTAAAAGAACGAAGGATTATCAATGTTTATATTATTTTAGGCTATTTTTTTATTACATAGGTAGTTACAGTCAGAGCAATATGTGTTTTTGGCAGTAATGATGTTTTTGATAGAAAGTTTTGTTATAGGATCGAAAGTTGCTTCTTCAGTTGGGTCCAGTTTATTCTGATCCCGTGATCTGATTGTTTGTGTGTATAAACAACTAGTCTCAAAAGAAAAAGGATTCAATCTGCCTCGGACTATAAAATGCAATCAAATTGTAATTGCAACATTTTATATGTACCGCCAAGATTACTTCCAGGAACAAAGAATAATGGTTGAGCAACTCCACACGCTCAAAGGAACTCCAGAGGCTAGACGCTGCACGTGCTAAATGTATCTTCTAATAAGGACAGTGTTGGGTCAAATTCGACTCCGTTCTATTTAGACTCTGCACCCATCCCCGTGGTATCTGAGCGCCTCCGCTGACTTCGACAGAGTCTCTTGGATTTACACAGAGCGGAATCTGGCGGTTTAACAAGACGGAAACCACCTAAATGTTACTTGCGTGGTTTATGTCAAATAAAATCAAGATTTCAACTGGTCACAAAAACAATGGAAGGAGAAGAAGGAATCAATAGAGCAGTGAAGGGGCGAGAGCCAAGCACCTGTGAAAACTCTCCCTGTTGTTCTGGACAGAGCTTATCTCCCAGCCCGGCGACTGGCGAATACCGAGCGAAGTGCCCCGCAGGGGCAGGCTGGAGTCTGCTGTACCTGGGCTTGCGCTTCCCACACGCCGGGAGCTCAGCGCTCCTCCGCGAAGCCGCTAGCGATGTCAGTCCCGCCGCCGCTCACTCGCAGGGCGGCCCTGGATCTCTGCCCCCAGCCCGGGGGACACGACCCGCGCAAGGCGCTGGGGCTACCCGGGAGCAGCCGAGCCTTTCGCCTCCTTCCCCTCTGCTCCTTCGCGCCCGGCCCGGCCCTCAGTGCTGCCCGGACACAGCCTGGGCCCCCAGGCAGGTGACCCCGCGCTCGCGGCCCCGGGCTCCCCAAAGTCTCCGCGGGACTCCCTGCCCGGACTGTGTCCCCTCCGCGCTCCCCCGGCCGGCGGCCCTGCCCTCACCTGCAGGCTCCCTGGACTCGCTCGCGCAGGGTCGGCTGCAGGTGCGCTCTCTTCTCGTTCTCCTCCTGAAAGGCCGTCTCGCTGTATATGGGCCGGGACACCACATAGCGGCCGGGGTCCGGCATGGGCCCGGCCTGCCGGCCGCCTGCTGCCATGGCCCTGCCTGCGCGGGAGAGAGAGAGCGGGACCCATCAGCGCCGCCCGCAGCCACCCCGGGGACCCACCTGCCGGGCTTCGCGCAGCCCGCCACCCACCCAGCCCGGCACCAGGGCGCCCGCCCGAGCCCAGCCTGCGCCCAGCGAGCGCAGCCTGCGCCCAACGCGCCCAGCGAGCGCGCACTGCAAAAGAGCTCAGCCTGCACCCGGTGACTAGCCCCCTGCATCTCTAGGGAGCCCTCCCTGCGAACCCAGCCTATGACCCAGGAGCCCAGCGAGCCCCCTGCGCCCTTCAGCACGGAGCTCCCAGGCCGCCCCCAGGAGCGCACCGTGAGCCCAGCCAGCGAGTCACCCTGCACCCCACAAGCCCTGCGGCCCGTAGAGCCCCTGCCCAGCCCAGCGCTGTCCGGGTCCTGAAATCACCGGCCGCAGGAACCGCAGAGCTCCGGGCCAGGATCCCCCCTCTTCCCGCTGGCCCTGGGGCTCCCAGCTCACTGAGCCCGGTGTCCCTGGGCGGAGGGCAGCCGCTGCGGGCCGTACCTGCGCTGGCTCCTAAGCCCCCGCACTGGGCAGGGCAGGCGGCCCAGCCGCAGCATTTATAGGGCCAGCCGCCACCGGACTCTTTATTTATGGGGAAACAAAGACACCCGGCTCCAGCCTGAGCTAGGAGCCGCCTGCCCTCCCCCTTCCCCCATTCGCAAGCCCTGCCCCGGCCCCTGCTGCCTCCACTGGCACCCTCCCACTCCAGGGCACTGGGGAAGGAGAGAGAGGCCTCAAGGACAAGCTGCTCACCGTGGGGAGCTCCCTGCCCCTGCTCTCCCGACCTGCACTGACAGCAGCCCACTGAGACACCCCGCATGCAGCGGAGGGGGAAGCTGAGGGCGTCGGGTTATTAGTATTAATGAATTAGCTGGGAAATGGGGTTACTCTCATTCCGGAAACCTAGACCTAGATGGAGGGAGCTGTCTGTCTGTCTGTCTTCTGCATCCTCTGTCTCCCCATCCGCACAGCCAGGGGGTGGCAGCTACTCCTGGGGCTGCTCCAGTAAGCAATTCCTTCCGCCGCTTCGACACGTCCCCAGTGTGTCCTTGTTCGCCCCTCGCCTACACTCCCCATCCCTCGGTGGGCAGTGTAGGGGCTCCCGACCTGGTTGTTAGAGAGTCGCACATGCTGCATATACACAGTGGGCTAAACACTGCCCCGTGGCTGCCAAAGGGGGGGAACGGCTCGGTTAGCTCTCCGTGTCGCTCATCTGAAAAAACAACCCCTAGTCTATTTCCTGCCAAGTCCAATGTTCAAGGCGTTGAGAATCTAGCCACTGCATAAGCGCTCGGTGCTGCCCACATACCAGGGCCATTAGGGAACTCGAGGTCAGCAAGCGGTGGGTGTATCGCCCCCGAGCGTGTTAGCACATACACTGGTGTCAGCGGCACGCGCGAGCTGCCACAGAAGCCACATCCGCAGGAAGGAGCAGTGACTATACATATAGTAGCAGTGCCCAGCTCAGAGCGCGTGTGGAGCCAGAGCCCTGCTGCTGGGGGAGGAGATGCATGACATGAACGGTGACTGTACAGCCTACGCGAGAGGGCTTATGCCAGCCGAGGCTGGGCCTGTATAGTCATAGTATTTAAGGCTAGAAGGGACCTCCAGATCATCTGATCTGACCGTCTGTATATCACAGGCCACCAACACCACCCCGTAGCCTAGAGTCCTGTGGCCGGGAGGGAGGTAATGATGAGTTCCTCTGCAGTCCATACAACACTTTGGAAAAGGTGGGGCTTGTGCTCCTCCCATGTTCCCATCCGCACTCCTATCCCTGCACGCCTTCTCCGTGGTGCGGAGAATTGCCAGCCATACCAGCAGCTCCCTCATCTGCAGCCTGAGGCCCCGATTCAGCAAAGATTTTAAGCATGTGAGTAAAGCAGTCAGCTTCCAAAGCGTGTATCACATATCACTACGGACAATAACCACACACAACAATCTGGGTAACAGTCAATGCGAAATAACTCAGGAGTCCTTTCCTTGGACACTTGCAGTAGAAGTATTTAACTTATTAAGGGGACGAGGTCTGATGAATTTGATACAGCCTCCAGAATGGGATAGTGGATCGTGAAATACAGAATTGCGATTGGATTCAGTTTAACATTATTTACTACAAGGATATAGGAACACCACGTGTGGTCAAAGACTTTCTAAGTAGACTTAGAATCCACTCATGATAAAAAATGAAGTAGAACGAAAACAGATTTAAAGGTTCACTTCAATAAGCTACCGTGGTCAAACACAATTGTTAATCTTTTTAGGGGCTAGAATGAGGGCAATGCAGATTACGTGATCACATAAAGTGTATTGGACCCCAGGTGAAGTATTAAATGGCGGTTATAGTAATAACGCGGAGTCCGGTGGCACCTTTTTTACCCACGAAAGCTTATGCCCAAAAAAATCTGTTCGTCATTAAGGTGCCATCAGACTCCTTGTTTTTGTGGATACAGACTAGCGCAGCTACCCCTCTGGTTATAGTAATAGGAACTGGAAAAATCATTAAAAACAACACAGATTTCCTTAGTTTATACCATCCTACATAAACTCAATTTTTGGCACTGTATGTTGTATACGATCTCATCCAAATACCCAAAAAACTGATAGCGTCCTTTGATATCTGCGTAACTGGGATCTCAGCAGAGGATAGTAACAAAGCCACGGATTTCGTTAAGGATGTCCTGTAACACTGGAAGAAGTTTGGAGAAGAATCGGCATGACTGACCTCAGCTAACATTAATTAGGGTCAAAATCAGAGGGAGACTAATTCAGCCCTGGTTCACAGCCCAAGCAACCCAGGGATTTCACGGAAGTGTGCATGAGGTATAAACCAGGAATGAATTTAGCCCTGATTGTCCACGGTGTTCAGACATCGTGAGGAGATGCTCTGAACTTTGCAGATCGCACATTGAAGGGATAGTGAGATTGAGGACAGTAGATGTGAAAAATAAAACCCCACCTGTGTTGCAAATAAAAGTATTTAAAAAAAAGAGTTGAGGAATGAAAAACAGAAAACAAAAAACGTCACCCTAATTCAAAATGACCCCCCCTCCCCCTAAGACTGAGGTAGGTGAATGTGGAGGAGGTGAATGAGGAAACCTGGCACAAGAGAGAACCTTCATTCCTTACTCTGCTTCACAGAGCACCTTTATCAAGCGTGGCACCGAACGCTGGCGGCTGGGAGGGGGCTTTCGTTTGTCTCTTGAAACCTACATCACTTCTCTTTCAAACCCTCTTTTTATTTCTTTTGTTTAACTTTCCGTTACTATTCCTTAGTTAGAAGATTGTTAGGTTCTTGTTCGGTTTGTTAACGCCTAGTGACTAAGTTATAGGTATGAAACAAAAGGGATACAAGTGGTCAAAGGGATACGTGTGCACTGGAAAGGGATTCCTTTCATACGCATTTCTAATCATTCAGGCCTGGTCTACACTACGAGTTTAGGTCGACTTTAGCAGCGTTAAATCGACTTAAGCCTGGACACGTTTACACTACGAAGCCCTTTCTGTCGACTTAAAGGGCCCTTTAAACCGGTTTCCTAACACCACCTCGACAAGGGGATTAGCGATAAAATCGACCTTAGGGGGTCGGAATTGGGCTAGTGTGGACGGAATTCGACATTACTGGCCTCCGGGAGCTATCCCACAGTGCTTCATTGTGACCGCTCTGGACAGCACTCTCATCTCAGATGCACTGGCCAGGTAGACAGGAAAAGCCCCGCGAACGTTTGAATTTCATTTCCTGTTTGCTCAGCGTGGAGAGCACAGGTGACCATGCAGAGCCCATCAGCACAGGTAACCATGATGGAGTCCCAGTCCCAGTCCCAGGATCGCAGAAGAGCTCCAGCCTGGACCGAACGGGAGGTACAGGATCTGATCGCCATCTGGGGAGATGAAGCAGTGCTCGCCGAACTCCGAAACAGTAAAAGAAACGGCAAAACATTAGAAAAGATCTCCAAGGCCATGAAGGACAGAGGCCATAACAGGGACGCGCGGCAGTGCCGCGTGAAAATTAAGGAGCTAAGGCAAGCCTACCACAAAGTCAGAGACGCAAACGGAAGGTCCGGGGCAGAGCCGCAAACATGCCGCTACTACGCGGAGCTGCATGCCATTCTAGGGGGTGCAGCCACCACTAGCCCAAGCGTGTTCTATGAGTCCCTCTCTGCAAACGGGGAAGCGGGTTCGGCGGACGAGGAAGATGAGGATGGAGAGAACATAGATAGCTCACAGCAGCAAGGAAGCGGAGAAACCAGTTACCCCAACAGCCAGGATATGTTTGTCACCCTGGACCTGGAAACAGTAACCCCCGAACTGACCCAAGACCCTGAGGGCACACAGGGGACCTCTGGTGAGTGTACCTTTGTAAATATTACACATGGTTTAAAAACAAGCGTGTTTAATGATTAATGATTAATTTGCCCTGGCAATCGCGGCCAGTACAGCTACTGGAAAAGTCTGTTAACGTGTATGGGGATGGAGCGGAAATCCTCCAGGGACATCTCTAGAAAGCTCTCCTTCATGTAATCCCAAAGCCTTTGCAAAAGGTTTCTGGGGAGGGCTGCCTTATCCCGTCCGCCATGGTAGGACACTTTACCACGCCAGGCCAGTAGCACGTAGTCTGGAATCATTGCATAACAAAGCATGGCAGCGTATGGTCCCGGTGTTTGCTGGCATGCAGACAACATCCATTCCTTATCACTCTTTGTTATCCTCAGGAGAGTGATATCATTCACGGTCACCTGGTTAAAATGGGGCAATTTTATTAAGGGGACATTCAGAGGTGCCCCTTCCTGGTCTGCTGAACAGAAATATTCCCCGCTGTTAACCACGCGGTGGGGGGGAGGGTTGAAGTGACCATCCCAGAGAATTGGGTGTGAGGGGGAGGGGAGTTAGTTGGGTTTGTGCTGCATGTTAAACCTGAAATCGCAGCCCCTCCTTTTACATTGCAAACCCATTTTAAATGG